AGTATAATGATTACAGAGTGATCTAGGGGTTCATTTTAATTGTGTCTGACCATATTTGGATGGACAGTATAGAAACAACTATATAATGACAATCACCAACTTCCTTAATTACAAGTAGTAATTGACTTGGGCAAATGTTTGTTGTGCTTATTAAAAAACAAGGGTACAAGTGAATCTTTCTAAAAGTAGAATCCGAACGTTTTAACACAATAACTAAGAAATGACATGAAGGCTATGTTAACCAGTTTGATGGAAATGTTTCAATTTGTATGCAAAAACACCACACTGTACCCCAGAATTACATTAATGTACATAGTTACCATTCAATAAATATATATATATATATATACATAAAAAGTGCACAAATACATCAAGTTTTTTTTCCCCTATGTTTCAGATATCAACTACATAAAATTAACTTGTAAAGGAAAGAAGAAAAGAGATGACCAGAGGTGTAAATAACACAACAAAAGTGACTTGAAAACTTAAATAATCTGTTGACATCATATGACTGTTAAGTGACAAAATAAAAATTTGTATGTGGGTTTGTACATGTTAAAATCTTAGGCCAACTGGTTGTGTCCTGTGCACAATTTGCATGATGCTTACATCTATAGAAATGATACTGAAGTTGAAATAAATATGATTGTGGGAGTAAAAAGATTATAGTCTTTGCTAGAAATCTTCCCTTAATGGCCACATAGAGGAAGCCTGTAATATGATTTAATATTAATGAGCATGAAAATATTGCAGACTTAACCACCTAGGTTAAAGCTCGATAAATGAAAGAGTTCACCAGTATCAAAGACCAATAAAAAAAATCAATAAAAATTAAAACAGTACTAAGTTCACTGCCGCTTTCCTTTCTGCAACGTCTCTCCATACTGGGAATAGCCGTTATTCCTACAGAAAAATCGTAGTTCGTCCTTCGTGACTTAACACTTCTGCACAGGTCTAAATATCTCAAACCCATAACTGATGTATATACTTTCATTTCTTTTCAAGAAAGGAAAGTCATTGTCAGCCTTTTTATTTAAGAAGTGAAAAATGGGCTTACTCAGTCCCTATTCCACATGCAAGAATATTAGTATTCATTTATTTCATCCATAAGTAAATATTTATTTGCCAATTTTATATAAAGCAACAATTTCTATGGAACATAAAAACATAGAAGTGAAGGGCTTTAAATTAACAGTGTCCATTCAAGTTTTTTGGTATAATTTATTTTAAGTTCTAATTTTTTTTGGGAGGGGGGCAGGGCCGGGTTTGAACCCACCACCTCCAATATATGGGGCTGGCACCCTACTCGTTGAGCCACACGAACCACTCTTGAGGTTGAATGTTTGAAGAATCACAGCATAATTTTGGTAATAATCTCTTGGGGAGGTTAAGTAGCCCATACATTTTATCATACTTAGATCAAAACAAAGTCATTTTTACCTGAAAATGGTTCACTACTCTTAATGTTGTGTAAAGACATGAAGCAAAAAGTTGAGGAATGACTGTCTAATTTCCAAAGAGTTTTCTTTATTAGAAATTGTGTAGTGATAATATAGGATGACATATCTGCCGTAACGAAAATGTTATGAAAGTTAAAATTTTCTCTGGCTAACACTGAATTCTATAGTGCACACCAGCCCACTAATATATCTCCTATAAAGCTGGTTAATTCAACTGGGTTTGAATAAAATAGATTTTCTTCTTGGTACTTTGTCATTAACTCTTTGGCTTTCCTTGGGTATAAGTAGAACACGTAACTTAAGAGTTCTATGCCAAAATATAGCAAAAGGAAAAATGAACAACATATACTACAAATATTTAGGAAGATAGACTGCCAGGAATTCTAACTGTGATAGGACACCATTGAGAAAATTAAAAAAATAAAAAGCTATGAGAAGAAACTTACGTTTGAAAATTCCTCCTCCTCTCCAAAACAGCCTATTATGAAATGAATGTTTTTATAATGGCATTTTCACAGTAGTGTTTTTGAAAAAAATAGAAATTAAATGTAGGTAATATTTTAAAGTGCAAAATTATATTAAAAATCATAGCACATAATGTTATGAAACTCTTTTTTATGGATGAATCTGGCTGATTTATTTTTTATTTATGCTGCCACCCTGGATAGAGTGCCGGGCATCATCATAGCTCATAGCAACCTTAGTCTCTTGGGCTCCAGTGAGTAGATAGGAATACAGGTGCCTGCCACTATGCCTGGCTAGTTTTTCTACTTTTAGTAGAGACAGGATCTTACTCTTGCTCAGGCTGGTCTCAAGACTCCTGAGTTTAAGCAACCCACCTGCCTTAGCTTCCCAGAGTGCTAAGATTTCATGTGTGAGCCATTGTGCTCAGCTTGATTTAAACCAGTGTAAAAGTGCCAGCTTTCAAATTCAGTCAACAGAAGGATTTTGTTTGTTTGTTTTTGACAGAATCTACCCTGTCACCATGGATAGAATGCTGTGGCATCATCATAGCTCACAGCAACCTCAGTCTCCCAAGTAGCTGGGATTATATACACTGGCCACAACGCTGGCTACTTTTCTCATTTTTGTAGATACAGGATCTCACTCTTGATAAGACTGATATCAAACTCCTGAGGTGAAGCAATCCATCCACCTTGGCCCCCTAGAGTGCATTATAGGCATGAGCCACCATGCCCGGCCCAAGCTTCTGTCCACAACAGAAGCTTTTGCAATTTTTGCAATAACTGCTGTGTAATCTATATATCCCTAACAAAGATAAAGAAAAAACTTGTAGATAGGTCTTTTCCAATTTTAATCCCTTTTCTTTCTTTCTTTCTTTCTTGCACTTTTTGGCCGGGGCTGGATTTGAACCCACCACCTTCTGCATATGGGGCTGGTGCCCTACTCCTTTGAGCCATAGGTGCCACCCTAACCCCTTTTTAATATCGTATATGGCTAACTTCATTAAAGATCCTGAATGGACAACTTGTGAATCACCTAATTAGTTAAATATTCTGTATTAATGATAAGTACAAAAGTCACAAAGTTAACAAAGTAATACATAGTGTTATGTGTTTGAGGAGTCTAAAAACTAGAAGAGGAACACAGATTATATTTATTATCTTCAAAGGCACAGTCAATCAAAGATCATACTCATTTTCTCTGTTGACAGGGCCTAATAGTTTAATAAGATTAATGTGATAAAGACTTAGCCTCAGGGAAGAAAAAGAAGTAACGAAAACATATCAGAATTATGGAAAGAAAAGATTGGAGACTTGTGGAGGGAGGAAATTAGTTTGAAATAAAGTGTTAGTAGAAGTCAGTTATTGAAGTTAAGTCAAAGAAGAAAAATAACACTATTTACATTGTCTGCAAAATGCAAAGAATCTTTAGAAATAGAACTTTTAGCATCTTTGGAAATCAAAAATGCTTTTTTTCCCCTTTAATTTAGTATATTGTATCTGTATAAGCAGGATAAATTTTATAATGGCGGAATAAAAACAAAATTATGTATACACACACATGTACATACTTTATAAGAATTTCTGATCCATCATGAAAGAAAAAAAATCTATAAAGACCAATATTAAAGTAAAAACAGGAACGCTGACAGGTCAGTAATCAGCAAAGCCACTTTCAGTGTGAGAATTCCCACCCAACCTTAGAATGCTGTAGGTTCCCTTTTGACTCCCTTGTGGGGAACACAGGGCAGAAGATAAATGTAACGGGCTACCCATCCTGGAAAGTATAATATGAGTTACCCACGCTCCTCACAAAATGAGAAATAAATCTCACGAGAGACACAGAGCCTGTAAAGAAATTCAGTCTTTATTGCTTCCTGGAGAAAAACAAAAACAAAACTAAGAATGAAAAATAAAAATGCATCCTATTTAAGACCTGAAACGTGAATTAATGCACGCTATTTCTTAGCACAAAAATAATAAAAAATTGAGAGAATAAAATAAGTTACAAATATACATCAAATCCGAGAACTGAACATGGATTCAAAGAGTAGAGAAGAAATGAAATGATACGGAAAAAAATTAAGAGACGTGGAAAATGCAGAAATGTGGAAGAAGGTACATTTTAAAACGTTCGCTCTCTGTTTCAGGAAGGCCACCCAATCTAAAGTGAGACACATACGATACACATAGTCCTGATAATGAGTATCAGAAGGTCCAGGTTCAAGCAAAGCAAGGAGAAATAGCAAATTAGCCTCACTGATTTAACAATCAGACAAACAATTTACTTTCCAGTAATAAATGAAAGCCAGAAAACAACAGAATAAAATCTTCAGTGGTGCAAGAAAAAATTGCTAACAATCTAGACTCAAAGCTTATGAAAATAATTTTTTGAGATTAAAAACAAAATACAAATACTCTCAAACAAGGAAAAAATGAAAAGTTCTTAGGAAAGGAAATTCTCAAGAATATACTTCTGGCAGATAAATAAGATGCAAGGTCTTATAAGAAGAAATGGGGGGGAAGTGGTAAATATTTGAGTAAATCTAACTAACTTACAATACAAGGATAATTTCTAACTCTTAGAATCAATGTTGAACGACATTACTTATAACATTAACACAAGAGACCAGAAAGTTCATGAGAACTAAATTAGTCTAATGTATTTTAGGAGAAAATTAAAAATATTAACATCTGTATATGTGTTTCTATGCCTATAGATGTGTGTGAACTCGCTGGGAGATGCCTTACTTGTATTGGTTTTATTAGAAGATTTTAGTTTTGTCCTATGACTTGTTTTTCTTCTTTGGGCAGTACATTTCTAGTTTCTAAAAAAAATATCAAGTTACATGCTTGTACTCAGAAATGCCCAAATAACATCTTCTACAGTATTGGTGAAAGTCACAGTATCGAACAAAGACAACTGTTCTCATGTGTAAAACCTATGAGAAAATACCCTGTATTTAGGCATGCGTAGCTACTCCAAGACATTTTTCCTTATGAGATATTTTAAATAATGCATAAAAAATATTCGTAGCCCTTCAGAATACTAGATGAATTAGATATCCCCTCTCACCTTACAAAAGAAGTTGTCATAATCTGTCCTGCACGGAACCCGTTGCTACCCTAGAAAAAAAGAAAGTTCCATATTACTAATGCAATTCATTGTTTCATTATTGATAAAAATAAAACAAAAAGTACTCTAGATAATTTGCTATTTTCAGTCAAATTGTATTATGCTCATATTTATTAAATGTTTCTGAATTGATAAAAGATATAGGTTGTACATTTTAACATGGAGTATTTCTTTGTACTCAGCGAATGTTTCACTGAAAGTAGTCAAATTAAATGTTTCAATTCTATATTATGTAATATAATGTAAAGATTCATACATATAATTCTCTTTTAATGTCACTATCTGTTTTGCTTGTGTTACTAAATATATTACATATATTTCATAATATTCCATTTATGCATAGAATTATTAGTCTTAAGAAAGTAGGTTCAGTGCATGGCCTAGTTTGTTACACACTGGTCCATTCTATTGATTTTCCATCATATGCAAATGGTCACAACATTTAAGCCATTGTTACTGCTACAACATTATGAATTCATTGCTTAAAACAAAGTTTGCTATTGAATATTTGCTAGACTATGTTAACAAGGGCATTCAGAAGAAAACTGCAGAATACAAAAGATATTTGAAGAAAATTCTCTACAGATAACATGGCTTTAAAACCTTGTGTATTTTCCTCAGTATCTATAGTTTGAGGAAATGCATGTAGTTATTTTGAACTACTTTACCCGATTTTACTTAAAAATGCTATTTACATTTTTTAAAAGTTGATACCACTCTAGCTGTTTAGGTACCTCTGAGTAGAACCAACACTGTATTCTGAAGTATGATGCTGTGTAAACATTTATTATTTTATGTATGTATTTATTTATTATTATTTTTTGAGGCAAAGTCTCATTCTGCTTCTCAGGCTACAGTGACATGATTAGTTCACAGCAACCTCAAAATCCTGGGTTCAAGCAATCCTCCTGCCTCACCCTCCCAAGTAGGGGACTACAGGCAACAGCCACAACATGTAACTAATTTTGGTCATTTTACAATGAGCGGGGGTCTCGCTTTTACTAAGGCTGGTCTCAAACTCCTGAGAGTTTTATATATAAACTTTGTTTCTATATAAAATGAGACTACATATTAAAAAAAATTCAAATTAATGGTAATTGAGTACACAATCTACTGCGGTATTAACCTAGAAATCGCTGTTGATTTATAATAGTTAAGATAAGGTCTGCAAAATAACAAAATATGAATAAGTGAAAGGGAAGTTCTTTATTATTATAATTGATTTCGAATACTCATTCAACACATATCTAATTTTTGGATAAATTAACCACTTCAGTCATATAAATGTCAGCTATTGCTCTCGTGTATGTTAAATTATATAATAAGAAATGCGTACTTTCTGCGTTATTCCTAGGCAATTTCCCTTATGAGTACATGAACAGCTTCAAAAATCAAATCAGGCACACTACATCACTCAGCAAAATTTATGTCACATAAGGAACACAAAACATGAAAGAAAATGAAAGACAGAAAGATTACCTTTCCCCCAAATCTTTGCTCTTTCGAATCTTTAATCATGCATTCTTTTCCCTTCATAACATTCTTGATGGAAATCTCATACAGAAAAAGAAATGGGTTAACTGACTGTGCTTCACTGTTAAGAGTAACCTATGGTCAGGGACATATCTCATTCCCAGAGCTTTCATCATTAATATTTTATGAGTCTCACTGATCTGTCCCATCTGGAAGAAAAATTTATCTTTCATTTGTGCAAGCAGTACCTCCCGAGTAATAGATTTCATCTCTATAAGCTGAGTTGTGAAATGCAGACGGCAGCAAAGGCAGAGGAGGCAAAGTGTTCACTTTATTCTGTTTCACTGGAGTCTGGCTCCACTTTCCTGGAGCTGCAGAGTCAGCCAAGCAAAGTGAAGGATCTTTGCAGATCCATGAGCAGTAGTTCCTTGCCCGTGTCCTTCAACTTCACATGCGAATGACTGTGTGTTTAAACTGACATATAAATGAGTTGATTAGCTACAGTCACTTTTGTTACTCAAGTATTTAAAAGGACCAGAATATTGGAAAACCATTAGCTCAGCCTTTAAAAATTTCTTCACTATAGTGAGATAACTAAAAGACTAATGATCTTCAGGCACTTATAACTAAAAAGGCAGGATGTTTTGCACCTTGGTTCACCATGGCTCACCTTAGCTGAAGTAAGAATTCTTCTTCTTGTTTGGTTTAAACAACAGACATGTCTCAGTGTTCTAGAAGCTAAAAGTCCAAGACCAAAGTGTTCCTGAAAACTCTCCTTTCATTTGTGCAAGCAGTGCCTGCTGAGTGATAGATTTCATCTCTATAAGCTGAGTTGTGACGTGAGAGGTTTCTCCTGAAGCCCCTCTGCCTGCCTTGCTGATGGCCACCTGCTTATGGTCCCCTCACGTGGTCTTCCCTCCTTGCCAAAGAATTTTTGTATAAGCTCATCTATTACATTGGAGCTAGTATTCCACAAGCAGTCTTCACTCATAGAGAAACAAAATTGAGAAAGTGTTTTAGGATCCTCCCACTTTTGAAGCCAGAAAAATTGCGAAAAGATCTTTAATATTGGTCTGGATAACAACTATTTACATAGGACCTCCAAAATCATAGGCAACAAAAGCAAAATTAGACAAGTGAGATTACATTCAATTAAAAGGCGTCTGCACAACAAAGAAAATGGCCAAGAAAATGAAAAGATAACCTATGGAATAATAGAAAAAAGTTGTATATTGTATATTCAATAACAGCTTAATATCCTAAATATTTAAGGTACTCAAATAATTAATTAGCAAAGAATCAAATAACCCCGTTTAAAAATGGGCCAAGGATCGCAATAGATGTTTCTCAAACGAAGATATACCGCTGGCCAACAGGTACATAAAGAGATGCTTGGCGTCACTAACGAACAGAGAAATGAAAATTAAAACCACAACGGCTGTCACCTGACCTCTGTTAGAATGCCTATTATCAAAAAGATAAAATCATGGCAAATATTGAAGAGGATATGAAGAAAATAGAACCTTTGAACACTGTTGCTAGGAATGCAAATTATTAGTCACTATGGAAAACAGTTCCTAAAAAATATAAAAAGTATCTCAAGAATGGAAGAAAAAGTATCCAATGTACTCAATCTACTATGAAACCAATTTATAGCTTTCTTATGAAAGCTATAACCCAATTATAGCCCAAGAAGAAGGGGAAAGGGGAGGGGGAGGGAGGAGGGGGGGAGGATGGATGGACGGAGAGTAATTAGTGGGACCACACCTACTATGGTGCATCTTACAAGGGTACATGTGAAATTTTACTTGGTGTAGAATATAAATGTCTTAACACAATAATTAAGAAAATTCCATGAAGGCTATGTGGACCAGTTTGATGAAAACATTTCAGATTGTGTGTAAAACCAGCACATTGTGCCCCATGATTGCATTTAATGTACACAGCTATGATTTAATAAAAAAAAAAATAGAACTACTAAGTATATATCCAAATGATGTGAAATCAATACATCAAAAGATACCTGCATTCCTAGTTTTATTGCAACATTATTCAGAATAGCCAAGAAATGGAGCCAGACAAGCGATCAGCAATGGAAGAGTAAAAAAAGAAAAAAAAACTGTGGTGCCCTGGCATCCACACAGCAAAACGAAGGTGGACACAGAAAGGCAAATATCATATGTTTTCACTCATGTGATAGGTCCAAAAGTCAAACTCATAGAAGGAGAAGAGAAGAGAAGGGGGGTTACCAGGGACTGGAGTGGAAGTGGGGAATTAGATGTTTGGCAAAAAACACAAATCTTCAATTAGATACGAGGAATAAATTCTAGAGATCCATCCTGCAGCTAAGAAATGAACCCTTGGGGTAATGCATCTGAATATTAGCTCATTGTAGCCACAATGTATTCATACTTTAAAGCATCATTTGTACATGATAAATATATCCAATTTCTAGCTATCAATTTAAAATAAAAAATTAACTAATTAAATGAGGAAAGAAAACAATAACAATAACCACAGCAAAAGCTGAAAACAGTGTATGTCTGTTTGCCAGGTCTCCCTAGTCCATAGATGCACCAGGCGGAGTGTGGTTCTCTCCTCAAGATAAAATGGAGATTCTAAAGAATTGAATTTAGTGCATAAACAGAAAATAAAAAAATCCTGGATTATTATTTTCTTAAATTTCAGAATATTACAGGGATATACACATACTTTGGTTGCTTAATTTGCAAGAATAGAGAAGTCTTGGTTTTAAAAGAATATTTTCCCTCACTAAATAGTCTAGAATTTAAAACTCCATGAAATAATTGTGTTTCTGTCCTTCAGCAAACTTTTCTCAATGTTTAGTTAAATATCAAGCACTGTGAGTATCAACATCTTTCTGATCTCTGATATTATGAACAGGACCCTGCATATTTTGATACAGAGTTGTATCCCGGGCATCTTGCACACTGTGGACAAGCAGTGAATATTCAAAATGTTTCTTCAAGGATTTTTGCATTTTTCATTTTTATCAGTGACTACTAGTGTATTCTAACAAGAATCCTAAAAAATCTTTGGGGGTAAAAGCGATGACTTATTCAAACTACAGAAACTCATTGTAAATTCACACGAAGCACTAAGTTGGTACTTGGGCTTTACTAAAATAGCTAAGATCAATTTCTGGGCTTCAGGGAGTTAACCATCTAGTTCAGGGAATAAGGTATGTGCATAAAAATAATATCAAATGTGAACTATTGAGTGTCAAGATAACTTACAAGCTGTAATTATAAGTAGATGTTACACATAAAAGAAATGAAAGGATATTATGATGAAAAAAAAACTGTATACGTAAATACATTAGCATCAAAACACCTCAAACCACAAATTGTATTGGTGACGTTGTTAAGGATTATGTGGCTGAGAATGACAAGAGCCCCCTACCTCTTCCTAGAAGAACCATCTAAACCTAACTCTCTTCAATCTGCCAGTTCACTCTTTGAAGTAAAAAAAGGACACCATTCCCATGAATGGAAAG